CCCCAAAACCCCAAAACCCCAAAACCCCAAAACCCCAAAACCCCTTATAAAAACCCCTTCTTTGAGCATTTATAATTATATTATTATGGATAGTGAGTTTAATATATTTGACGAAGACAGAGATTTTGAAAGACTCCTGGCTGAATTCTCTTTGGGCCCCTGAAGAGATACAATCGAGCAAGAACAGCACGAAGATCTAGATCAGGTGTCTTATAGTGCTAGCAATAGAGAGTCTAGTTTCCTGAATGATAATACAGAGGCTAGTCCATACAAAGAATTAGGTTACGCAAGCATAAAAACCTTCCCTGTTGACTATGAAGAGTGAAAATATAACCAAGAAGAGCCTGGCTTACCTTCCATTTCAGAAGAATCAGAAGGCTTGCTTTCTAATATTTCTCAGACTAGAGAAGAGTCTGAAAATAAGGAAGAAAATATCCAGATTTCTTCCCTAGATCCTGCTTCAGAACAAGAAGATTCTGAAGTAGTTGATACTAAAACGTCGCTAACAGACCAGACTAAGGAAAGAACCCAAAAGCCCAAGAAGCTGAGCAAGCAACAGACTAAGATCGATATTGACATGACTCGAGAGGAATGCTGGAGTTCGCTAAAGGAGTGGTGCTCTGAAGGTGAGAATGCATTTGACAAAGAATTACATGCAAGAAGACGTGGGCGGCCTGAGAGAATTCATAAGAACACCTTTACTAATCTTATGAAGCATTATAAAAATAATTTGAAGCAAGTTGTAGGTACGACTCTTCTTTGGAATGTTCTAAATTATTATCTGTAGCTAAATTTTCTGGTCAAGGTAAAAAGAGAGCGGATTCATTAAATACAAGTTTATTCAGGTGAGATTAGAGCACACACTTTTTCTGCCTCTTGATCCCTTTTAGCAAAAGCTAACTTTGGTCAAATTTAGAGGGGTAAAGAGAGAGTCTAACCACTTCTTGGATAAGAATGGAAGCATGGCAAAGAGAAAAGGCCAAAACTTTTCAGACTTCTTCAAAGCCTGGGGAATGAATTATATCAAAAATTTATGAAAGCTTCATCACATTGAGTCTCCTGAGGAGAGAGAAGCATTGTTCTTCTACCACATCGTGCTCAGCTATCCTGAGGAGAGAGTCATGACTGTGCTAAAGATCTTCTTTGAAAACAAGCCGAAGTTGCTCAAAAGGTATCGAAACCTTTTAGAAAGAAGAACTGTTCAATCAAAAGTTGATATTAGGGCTTACTATGCCCATAATCCTTACTTCAAGCTTGTCTTTGATAATCTCGTTACAAACCTAGTTCAATGAGGCGATGAACTAGTGCAAAACAAGACTGTAAGAGCCAAAATAATCAAAGGATGCTACAAAATTACCAAAGGGGGAAAAATCAGGATCCAGCGAAAATAAACTTAAATTATTCTAAAAATTAAATGTTTAATAATCTTAGTTTTGGGCGTTCGGGAGATGTCGGTAAAGTTCTAGAAGTAGAGCTGCCAAATAAGTATCATCAAATAACAATGGGCTGTTGTCTACCCCGTCTTGGAGCCTTGTCCTTTAGTAAGCTGAGAATTCAGCCAACCCTATTTTTGAGAATAAGGGTTCTAAACTTTTTACACTTTTATTCTAATTTTATTTTTATCAGGAGTAAATTTTTCTCAGATCATAACACTCTTGGAAATCAAGATTTATAGTAAAGCTGGAGACCAATTTCACCTAATTTTTTCTGATAAATCATTAGTCTGGGGGTTATTTGTTAGAATTCGTGAATGAAGATCTGGTAGCTTACCACTTCAATCATGTTTTACATATAAACTCTGCTGCTGGAATTAATATAGAGTATTCAACGAAAATATTTTCTATGGGGTTTTGGGGTTTTGGGGTTTTGGGGTTTTGGGG